AGCTCAGTGGTTCTCAAAGTTTGTTGCGCATTAGAATCATTGGAGGAGTTTAAAAAACCCCAAATGCTGGGGCTCTACCCCACATTGATTAAATTAGAATTTCTGGGAATGAGGCCAAGACATCAACATTTTAAAAAACTTTCCCGAGGACTGTAACGTGCAACTAGTTTTTGACCAAAGATCTAGCTTCTGCTTAGCTGTGTCCCGTGATGAAAAATCTCTGCTTTGTGGGTGACGATTCACTGCTACACAGTCCATTCCTATTAGAATTAATAGGAATTAGTGCATCTCTGGAGGCCATCCAGAACCAGTCAGCTCCCTCCTTAACTGGCTAGCCCTCCAAACACATGAAGACAGTAAACAATTTGCGACGCACTAAACTGTATTAGCTATAACTTCTTCCTTCCTACAACCCAAAGTACCAATTTAAATTACACTCTTAGATTATACTATTTCACAGTGTGGCAATGTGGCTTTTGAGCCACTATTTGGCTATTATCCTGTCCTAGCTTCATTATTTTGACTTCTTGATGAAACAGTTCGACAACCACAGAGAAAAAGGTTAGATTTCTCTCAAAGTTTAAGCAAACCGATTTTTGAGGAGCCAATATGGGATGTGAGGTGTGTTTCCCTCCTTCCCATGGGCTGTCATGTGCCCAGCAACCAGCTCTTTCCTTCTCCGGCCCCGTACCGCCTGTCTCTTTCCTGTCAACTTACTCTCGTTGGGGCTCTGCTTGCTTTTGCTCTCCCTTTGTCAGCATGTGAGCCTGGGTGGTGGCCAGGCCTGCCGGAGGTGTGGCAGAAGAGAGAAGGAGGGAGAGAAGAGGAGGATGTCTCTGTCACACCCCAGTTTAGGAACTCAGCTGCCGTGTCATAGAGGCCTGATCTAGCACATATGATAAGAGGCTCAGTTCTGGAGTCAGATCTTCTAGACTGGGGTCCTGGTTCCCCATTACTCTAGGAGCAACCTTTGGGGAAAAGTGAACTCAGCCTACAGGAGCCTCAGTTTCTTCATCTGTAAACCAAGAGCGACACTGTAACCTCTGCGAAGCAAACAGGTAATCCTTGTAATGTGCTTGGTACAAGGCCTGGGGCGTAGCTAGTGCCTAATAAGAATTAGCTCTTATTGTCTGATTTCCCCATGCCCCCAGTCTTGTCCACAGGCCAGCCACCGACCCTTTTCTAATCCAACCCAGGCTGCCCAGCCGCACCGCCGACCCTAACTTCTGCCAGCCTCATCTCCGAGGACCTATATTGTGCTTAGCTTAGACTTCAAGTCCAGCTCCTTGCCATTCACCACCTCACCTGGGCTCAGAATGCCTCCCACAGACACTAGAGAAAAAACAACAGCCCTTAATATTAGCTCTCATTCCACTGGTTCCCATTGGTTGGAAGGGACACCCGGTGGCAAAAATCTTGCTCCTGATCAGTTTTTCTCTTTTTTGCTTTCACTTTTCTTTCTCAAGGGGCCATATGAAATTGCACTTGGAACTGTGGTTTGTCCTTTGTTTAAAGCCTGCCAGGAAAATCATTAAATTTTTAGTGGGCGCTGAAGGATATCTTATTTCCCTTTCCATTTAACAAACATTAAATTTTTGACCAGGGTTTCCTGAACTCCACATGCTCGCAAGATGGCTTTTATTTTCCTGGCTGCTTCATTTCATTTTGTCAGTACTGCAGCAAAGCTCTGGGAATGGGATCTGTTAGGGCCATGTCTCCATCAGCCAAGATTTGAAGGGTGCAACAGATTGAAAATTTTCAAACTGCAAAACAGTGCTCAAGTATGTGTTCAGTGAGCAACGAAAGGCTTCCTTGCAGAGTCCTTGCTCCCTCTGTTGGGTAAATGGATGACTTTCCAGGGATGCCGCATAAAAGAGTGATTTAAAAAAAATGGCTGTAGGCAGCCGCAAGATGGATTCTTCAGCCCAGTGTACATCTCTTGCTGTTTAAAAACAAGTTTAAATTAGGTTCTATAACCATTCAACCACATCCCCTGATGTCTGTACATGAGTCATTCCCTAGTGAAGGGAAAGGAGCTTGGTATGTTAAGTGTTGCTGAGCAGTTCTCAGGAACCTGGCACCCCAAATGTCAGGCTGGTTTTACATGGGTCATATTTAAATTTTTACCATTGGTTTTTCCAGAGTGTTTCTAAGCAAGCTGCAAAAAGAGGGCAAAAAGGAAAAAAAAAAAAAAAAAGCACAAAATGCCACCAAGAGATGAGAAAAAAAATTTTTTTGAAGATTTATTTTATTTATTTATTTTTAGGGAGAGAGAGCATGAGAGCGGGGGCGGGGGGGACGCAAAGGGAGAGGGAGAGACTCTCAAGCAGGCTCTGAGCTGAGCACGGAGCCAGACGCAGGGCTTGATCTCACGACCCTGAGATCATGACCTGAGCTGAAATCAAGCGTTGGAGGCTTAACAGGAAGCTTAATTGACTGAGCCACTCAGGCGCCCTGAGAAAAAACTGTTTGACTGTAAGTACTCAGAACCACTATAAATAAAACAAACTCCAGTACTACTCTCACTTCAAGTTACAGTCCCTTGATTTTTTTACTCTAATTTCCATTCACTTGACTCTAAGTGGGCAAATCTTTCCTGGTATCAAGTGGGCTTGCACTCCTTTGTCCAAGGACATGAATTTACCTTGTTTGCCCAGGCCGGTAGACACATCCACAAATACACTTGTAGGTATAACTACATGAAGAGGCCCCAGCAGCTAATCTTGGCCTTAATATATAAAGAGACTGTACATTCTATATCCACTCTCCAGAGGGTAGAGTTCCTCTTTTTTGAGTTGAGTTTTTGTTTCCTGTAGTGGTGATAGGCTCACCACTGATCCAACCTTGGGGGGGGCAGTAGTTCAGTGTGTGGTATTAGAGAAAAAAGCAATATTGACTTTATAACACCATTATGGAACCAACTAACTATGTCAACCACGTTAAGATAATTAGCACCACCCTAAGATAATTAACACACATATACACTCACAAACATGTTAATGCTGCCCTGGAATAGACATTACATCATTTCCTTTTATGTGATCTGTTCATTCATTTATTTGTCAAGCAAATGTTAATTCATTCATTACTAATACAGACTGGAAAAAATGCGACAGCACATTTACTGTTTCTAAAATTCATGTACTGAGTCTCTCTTGCCCTTGAGTTACATGGATACCAGGATAAAACAAAATCAATATTTGTTCTATTCATCCTGCATAAATATTTTCCCAGACAAGTGGCTATTTACCATACTGAGTCAACAAACACTGTTGGAATATTAGAAAGGTTCTCTCGAATTCCCATGGGTCTGGTAACATGGCCTAGGAAACTACCCAAAGGGGAGGGGAACAGACCTTGATTGTGTGCCTGTCACAGTGAGTCACTATGCCAGCCATTTACAGATGTTGTAGCATTTCATCATCATGAACACCCTAGGAGATAGCTACTGTGATTCACTTCATTTTATAGATGAGGATACTGGGGCTCTAAAAAGGTTAAGTAATTTTCTTAAAATGTTCTGCTCTCATGTTTCAATGATACAACATTTTCCTAATTTTTCCCTTTCTTCTCCTTCTCAGCCTTTTTACTATTTCTTTCTCCTTCCCCCTTCATCCATGGCTCAATTTTGGACATTCTCCATCTATATTCCCTGGTGATCTCATTCAGTCAATGGCTTTAAATACTATTCATGTGCTCATAGCTCTCCAGTATGTATCTCCAGCCTCAAATTCTCCCATTGCTGCTAGACTTGCATATCTAACTGCTTACTTAGCATCTACACTTAGATGATGGGCAAGCATCTCCAAATTTGTATGTGCAAACTGGAGACCTTGATTTTTTTTTTCTCTGCAGATCTCTTTCTCCCTGATTTGAACCACTTTCATAAATGGTTCTACCATTCATACAATTGCTCATTAAAAACAAATAAACACCCCTCTTTTCTTTACTACCTCCCCAATCAATAACAAAAATATATTGTAAGTCTGTTTGCATTTTTCCATCTCTACCTTTGCCTAAACTTTGCCCCCAATAATACCTCATCTGCCTTTTTCCTTCTCCTTGCCTAGAATGTAGGTTTTCTTTTTCTTTCTTTCTTTTTTTTTTTTTATGGCCGAAGATGTGGCATCCATTCGAGCATAAGAGAAAGGGCAGCAGCATCACAGACATTAGCTCTGATATACTAGATACAAAACAACACCTTCAGATATCATGTTCGGAGTGAAAAATAACTTGTTTCTTTAATCCCAAATAGTCATATTATTTTCTTACTATTTGCAGGTGAAACATTCCTGATAAATGATCTCTCCCCACCCCCATCAATCCATATCCACACAGCATCCAGAGAAGTGTTTTGTTGTTTTTTTAAACATAAGCAAGATTTATTCAGTAACCAAATATTTACTGAACACATACTATGTGCTGTGAATGCTTCTAGGTTCACATAGATATAAGATACACCAGTGAACAAAGCAAACAGAGTTGGGACACACTAGAGAACAGAGCAAAGACCCTTGTTTTTGTGGAAGGCAGAAATATAATAATCATGTAAATAAGTGAATTACTTGTATGTTTGAGGATGATGTATGCTATAAGGGGAGAAAAGGAAAAATTATAAAGCAGGGTAAGATTGATCAGAAGTGAGAGCGGCAATTTTAAAGTGTGGTCAGGATGGATTCAATGAGAAGGGGACATCTGAGAAAAGACATGAAGGGCCTGGGTGATAGTGGAGATGGGTTGGAGTTATCATCAGCTCAGATGAGGAAGGCTGAGTACAATCAGACTTATGGAATGAGATGGACATCTCAGTTTTAGATATGCTGAATTTTAAATATCTACCAAAACATTTGAGAAGAGATGATGTTGAGTAAGCGGTGGAATGCATGAGTCAAGAATTCAGTTGACAGGTCTGCACAGTGGAGAAAAATTTGTGAGTCATGGTCTAGAGATGGTATTTAAAGCCATGAGATTGCATGAGATCACTAAAAGGGTGAGTTCTGTTAGAGTAAAAAAGACTAAGTCCTAGAACTGATCTGTTGCCACTTTAATAAGTTGGGGAGAAGAGGAACTGGCAGAGGGGACTGAGAAGATGCAGTCGGTGAATTAGGAAGACAACCAAGAAGCTGAGGTGACCTGGAAGCCAAATGAAGAAAGTGTATTAAGGATGAGAGAGTGATCACTGTTACTGATTGTCAAATAAGGTAGGAACTTAAAACTGATCATCGGCTTTAGCAACAATGAGGTCACTGGTGACTTGACAAGAACAGTTTTCATGAATTGCTGGGGAAAAAGCCTGAGTTGAGTGTGTTTGAGAATAGGAGGAGACTAATGGCAGTTTCCTTGAGATGTTTTGTGCAAAGGTGAGAAAAACATTAGAGTGTACCTGGGAGATTTTTTTTTTAAGGTGGGAAAATAACATGTTTGCATAATGATGAGATCATCAAGTAGAGATTTAAAAACGGATGATGAGAGGTGCCTGGGTGGCTCAGATGGTTAAGAGTCTGCCTTCGGCTCAGGTCATGATCCCAGGGTCCTGGGATCGAGTCCCTCATCGGGCTCCCTGCTAGGCGGGGAGCCTGCTTCTCCCTCTGCCTCTGCCTCTCTCTCTCTGACTTTCATGAATAAATAAATAAAACATTTTAAAAAATAAATAAATAAAAATGGATGATGTAGGAAAAAGAGGGCTTGCCACACAGGGCCACAAAAAGAACACTAGCTTTTGGTCAAGAAACAGAAGCAGAAGTGAGGGGAGAGCCTAGGCCAGAAGACTTTACTGGAGTTCCCTGGCAGAGGCAAGGCAGGGCAGGATAAACAGTTTAGGATTGGCTAGTTTGAGTAATTTCAGTGGACTCTGGGCTATAGGGATAGTCTCTAGCTGTCTGGCACCTGGTCCTGGGATGATTAAGGCAGAGAAATATTGCCTCCTTGGGTGCACAGAACAGATGGGGAGATAGGACTCTGGATTTGTTAGTTTATATTACAAAGGCATGCTCATGGTTGAGTCTTTTGCTCTCTCTAAGAACTGACTAGCCATGGAGGGACTAGAAAGGTTTTTTAAGATGTCAAAACATCTTGGGACGCCTGGGTGGCTCAGTCAGTTAGGCATCTGCCTTTGGCTCAGGTCATGATCCTGGGGTCCTGGGATCAAGTCCCACATCAGGCTCCCTGCTCAGTGGGGAGTCTGCTTCTCCCTCTGCCTGCAACTCCCCCTGCTTGTGTTCCCTCTCTCTCTCTGATAAATAAATATTTTTTTAAAATGTCAAAACATCTTAATGTACAGAAAATTAAAAACATGATTAATACACAAACACAACTAAAATGCCTGGACATCGTATACAAAACTAACATAAAAAGACCCTGAAAGGTGGAGAGAAGAAAGCAGATTGGCAAAGGACCTCAGGACCCAAGGACCAAACTTGTGGTGATTTTCCTGGGTTTTCCTTTTGCCCCACTTATTGCAGACTTGGAACTGGCATCTGGAAATGCCAACAATAGGAGCAGACAAAAAAAGTCCCAACAAAACCCTGCTCTTTCTAGTAAAAGGATCAGGAAAAGGACAGTCTAGCAAGACAAAAACTTTTAGACAGTAACTACTTCACTCCAGCCAAGCACCACAGAAACGACACTGTGACTCTACCCCACCCACACCAGCAAAAGCCAAGAAGGAGCCTAGACTTCCAACCTCACAAGGCTGTAACAAGGCAGCTTACCGTTCCCTCTGGGGTGGTGCCAGAGGAGGCCAAGTGCGGACTCAGGGCTTTTACCCCACTGGCCAGTATTGAGGCTCACTCTTTCTGCAATGCCAGTGGAGACCACCTAGGGAGCAGGAACTCCCATTCCCATGCAGCAGTAACAGGAAGTACCCCCTTCTCCCAGGGTAGACAACTTAAGTCCTAATATGTCAATAATCACATTAAATGCAAGCAATCTATAAAATAATAAAAAATATAAATGCAAGCAATCTAAACGCACAAATTAAAAGACAGAGATAGAGTATATTAAAAACCATAATCCAACATATGCTGCCTATAAGAAACTCATTTCAAATATAAAAATAAAGGCAAGTATGGCCCTTTTACAAAGATGGTGCTGAAGGCTAAGAAGGAAGCCCCTACCCCTCCCAAAGCCAAACCCAAAGCAAAGGCTTTGAAGGCCAAGAAAGTGGTGCTGAAAGGCATCTACAGTCACAAAAAAAAAAGAAGATCCACATGTCACCTACATTCCGACAACCCAAGACACTGCGTCTGTGGAGGCAGCCCAAATATCCTCGAAAGAGCACCCCCAGGAGAAACAAGCTTGATCACTATGCCATCATCAAGTTCCCCCTGACAACTGCGTCAGCCATGAAGAAAATAGAAGACAACAACACACTTGTGTTCATTGTGGATGTCAAGGCCAATAAGCACCAGATCAAACAGGCTGTGAAGAAGCTCTACAACATTGACATGGCCAAGGTCAACACCTTGATCAGGCCTGTTGGAGAGAAGAAGGCATATGTTCAACTGGCTCCTGACTACGATGCTTTGGATGTTGCCAACAAAATTGGAATCATCTAAACTGAGTCCAGCTGGCTAAATCTAAATATAAATTTTTTCACCAAAAAAAAAAAAAAATTAAATAAAGGCAAGTATGGAAAAAGATAGGCCATGAAAACATTAATCAAAAGAAAGCAGGAGTGGCTATATTAATACCAGATAAAGTCAATTTCAAAGCAAAGAAAATTACCAGAGACAGAGAGGGATATCATATAATGATAAAAGGGTCAACCTATCAAGAAGACATAGTAATCCTAAGTATGTATGCACCAAACAACAGATCTGTAAACTATATGAAACAACAATTGACAGGACTGAGAGGAGAAACAGACAAATTCACAATTACAGTTGGAGACTTCACTATGCCTTTCAGCACAGATAGGATAACCAGACAGAGAATCAGTATGGATATAGAAGAGTCCTAACAACATTATCAAGCAACAGGATTGAAGCAACATTTACAAGATACTCCACCCAATAACAGCAGTATCCAAGGGACATATGCAAAGATAGATAATATCTTGGATCATAAAACAAATCTTAACAAATTTAAAATAGTTGAAATCATACAGAGTGTGTTTTTTGAACACACTGGAATCAAAATAGAAATCAATATGGAATCAAAATAGAAATCAATAAGAAAGATAGCAGGAAAATACTCTAAATACTTGAAAACTAAATACACATTTTTAAGTAATCCATGGGTCAAAGATGAAGTCTCAAGGGAAATTTTTAAAAATACATTGAATGAATGAAAATGAAAATACAACATGTAAAAATTTGTGGGACATAGCTAAAGCAGTATGGAGAGGGAAGTTTTCAATACTAAAGACATGCATTAAAAAAAAAAAAGGAAAAGTCTCAAATACATTATATAAGTTCCCACCTCAGGAATGTAGAAAAAGGAAAGCAAAAGAAGCCCAAAGAAAGCAGAAAGAATAAAATAACGGATTAGAGTAGAAATTGAGGACACTGAAAATTAAAAAATAGTGAAAAATCAATGAAACAAAAAAATCAATGAATCAATGAAAGAACTGGTTCTTTGAAGAGATCCATAAGATTGACAAACTTTTTGCAAAAAATTGACCAAAAGAGAGAAAAAACCAATTACCAATATCAGGAAGGAAACAGGGGCTAGGACTATAGATCTTGCACAAATCTAAAGGATAATAAGGGAATCTATGAGCAACTGTTCACACATAAATTTGACAACTTAGACAAAATTAACCAGTTCCTCAAAAACCACAAACTACTGTAACTTACCCAACATGAAGTTGATAATTTGAATAGTTCTATACTTACTAAGGAAATGAACTGTAATTTTAAAACCCCCTAAGACAAAAATCTCTAGGCCTAAATGGTTTCACTGGAGAATTTTGCCATAGGTGGAAAGAATAATTAACAATCAATTCTACACAATCTCTTTCAGAAAATAGGAGGAAAAACATTTGAATTCATTTTTTAAAGCTGGTATGACTTCAATATCAAAACCAAAGATAGCATAAAAAAAGGAAAATTATAGACCAATATCCCTCATGAATACAGACACAAAAATCCTTAACAAAACATCACTAGCAAATAGAATTTAGCAACATATGAAAGAATTATATACCATGACCAAGTGAGATTTATTGTAGGGCACAAGGCTGATTCAATATTTTAAACTAAATCGATGTAATCCACTATATTAACAGGCTAATGAAGAAAAATCACATGATCACCTCCCTCAGTATAGAAATGTATTCCATGCCATTGATGATAAAAAATAAAAAACCTCTCAGAAAAATTGGAATAGAAGAGAACTACATCAACATGATAAGGAGTACTTACCAAAAAAATCCGCAGCTAACATTATACTTAATCGTGAAAAGCTGAATGCTTTCTCCCTATGTTCAGGAGCTAAATAAAGATGTCTGCACTCACCACTCTTATTCAGCATAGTGCTGGAAATTCTAGCTAGTGCAGTAAGGCAAGGGAAGGAAACAGAAGTTGTACAAATGGAAAGAAAAAACTGGTACTATTTGCAGATGACACGGCAGTCTACTTAGAACATCCCAAGGAATCTACAAAAACAACTTCCTAGAACTAATAAGTGAGTTCGGCAATGTTGCAAGATACAAGATAAGCATTCAGGAATCAACTGTATTTCAATCTACTACCAATGAATCTGTGGACACTGAAATTTAAATTCCAATACCATTTATAACTGCTCAAAAACAAAAATAAAATACTTAGCCATAAATCTAAGAAAACATGTTTAGGACTTGTAAGGTAAAGACTACAAAATGCTGATTAAAAAAATTAAAAAAAAATAGATGGACAGTTGTATGGTGTTTATAGATTGGAAGACTCAGCATATTAAAAATATCAGTTCTCCCCAAATTAACATACAGGTTTTACCCAATTTCTACCAAAACTGAGTAAGATTCTTTTGTAGATATAGACAAGATTGTTCAAAAATTTATATGAAAACTTAAAAAAAATAGAAGAGTTAAAATAACTTTGAAAAAGAAGAATAAATTGGGAGGAACCAATCTACCTGATTTCAAGACTGGTTAGATAGCTTCTTGAATCAAGACTATGTGGTACCAGTAAAGGGATAAACACATAGATTGATGGAACAGAATAGAGAACCCAGAATACATTCACACAAATGTATTCAAATG